GTAGCGTTCTGCTCCACGACAGCTGCGGATCGAAATATAATTTTCAAAGATGAAAAAGCACAAATTTTCTAATATAATTCATTCTAAAATTCATCTAACTACTAGCTGAAAACCATTGTTAAATTCTGCATTTATTCCAAATTTCAGATAGAATAGCCGAAACCACTGAATGGAGATTCTCGCGCGCTCTTATCCCGCGTGGCCTTGACGTATTCCTCCCTATTTACGGGTCTGTATGAGAGCAGTAGGTACATGCATGCCTCTAGCAATTAATTTCGCCACAAAACTCTGCTCTCTTTGCTTTGACTAGTCAAAAAATCACACATCCATTTTACGTGTTCAAGTTGGTGAAATATCAGGAGGATATTTACCTCGTTACGTTTGTGAGTAAATATCCGTCGTTATTCACATCAAACTCGACAAATTGTTAAATATATATTGCACGTCACGATTAGCGAAAAAGACGTGCAAAATCAAAGCTATGACCAGCTGAATTAAACTTATTGCGGAAATTAATTTACTAAGTCTAGCCAGCTACAGTGAAATAATACAGTTATCTTGCCATAATTGAACGTACCTCATAATAAGATAATAACTCTCTTATCAATTTCATTTTAGTAAATTAAAAGACGATTTCGTAAGCTAGCGATGTTTTTGTTAGAGGGAAAAGGAAGCAAGACAATTGATAAATTTGATTTTTCTATTTTGAAGGAACACATCTTTAGCTGACAAAATTCCACACTATGTAATCAGCTCCGGGGCTCCAGAATGAAAATCATAATAGTACTCTATAAAACGTGAGGTGTATTCTCGACGCTAATATATATAAGGCAAAATTATTGGAGACGGCCTCTGTCCCTGCAGTGAATAGATTTTGCAACCTAACTAACTTATAATTTTTTAGGTCAGCGCACATAAAAAAGTTCCTTTTTGATTTAAAAGCGACAAAACAGAGTACATTAAGCTCACTTTGTGCGGCGAACTTTACCAGTACTAGTAACAGGAGAATCACTCGAAGGGGAAAACGCTTTTTCATGCTCTCCGCCGCTCCAGACTTGCCTTTATCATATTAGTTCTCACATGGCAAACAGAGACACCTCCACGAGCCGTGCATTCATTAACATTAATGCAAGGATTGACCGGTGTGCTAAACAACTGCAATGGCCACCCGTTAATCTCACAAAACAGTGCGATTCTAACGCGACATTGTTTACTAGAGACAATGAAGAACACACAGCAGTGAGAGTTGGCGCTCACTGTCAAGCGCAGTTCAACAGCGAGTGAAAACAAAAATTGTAGCGCTTAAAAATTAATGCTGGGCGGCGAAAAAGGTTTGTTTATCAAAAATGGTTTGTCTTTTTTAGTTTAAAGCTAGACATTTTTAAGGACTCACACCAAACCTTTACCACTTTGCGGGTCGTAACACCTATCGATTGAGTCACGTTCTGTTTCTGGGCACTCTAACGGAATGGTTACGATTTACTGCTTATCCAAACGTTTGGTCTAAGATATGCAAGTTGTTTCCACTAAAAGTTGGGGTGTTACTTTCAGTTAGCTGTTAAGATACTGGTTAACCCTTAGGTTAGTGCCGAATTCTTGAATGCCATCAGCTGTATCGACTTGTTAAGTAATGATAAAGCACACCATTAGAAGATATCGAGAGTTGGAATGATCGCACATGAGGCTGTGTAAAAAATGTTAATATTGTACCCGAGTTCTCGATGGTTCCCCGGCAAAGTAGATGTTCGAACTGAATTGATCGCGATAAGAAATAGAGGTATCCTCTGATCTTAACGGTCGTCTTTTGATTTATTAATTAGCGGCATATATTTCTATAAGTCAGGCAGGAGACTGATTGATAAATCGATGTGAAAGTATTGGTCTCTGATTGAAGATTCTAAAAAAAAAAAAAATGAAAAAATTGCATCGCGTTTTGAATCCAAATACGTATTTCTCTAGCGTAGGCGTTCCGCTAAACAACATATTGACAAGCTTTTAAAACAATTTCCAATTTCGCCTTCGTACCCCTTCCTTGGAAAAAAACACACATTCAAAAACAGATCGTAAAACTGCTACTCACGATGTTGTTGCATGATCACGTGAGGCTGCGGTTCCACAGGGACACCAGTCTCCGCATTATGCAGAAAATCCACTGTGATATTCTGATTTGGAGTCAGCGGGGCTGCGGTGGCGTTGCTGATAATTTTGTCCACCACTCCTCCCTCAAATGGATTCACTACTCCAGGACCACTGGGCATAGGGGGAGCCGGGGTCGCCAGAACATGCGTAGTACTCGGCAGTGATGCCGTCACGTGACTTTCGAGTTGGTGTACTAACGGTACCCCTGTAGGGGCCACGTTTTCTTTCTCTTTTTCAAATGAAATCCTGATGCTTTGATGTTCCGGTGGAGGCAAAGATGATTCCAAACTTAACGCATTTCCATTTACGTTCACTGGCGATGTTTGATTTCCGAGGAAAGATATTTTAATGTTTTCCTGGTTTCCTTCTACTGGTGGCTGTAAAGACACTTCATTGACACTTTGCACGGGCTTGTTTTTGTCGATAAAAGAAATTTTTATTTGCTCAACGCCGTTGTTTTCCACGGGTTGCACATTTGAAGGTATCTCCACAACCCAGTCCGGGTTTTCCTTAATTTCCAAAACCTCCATTTCCTCAACAGGTACAACCGGAAGTTCATTAGCATTCATAACAATAAGCGGCTGTGAAGTGGGCTCCAGTGTTCCTGCCTGTACCGGAAGTACTTCCTGTGGCGTCGATGAATCATAAACTCCAATCTCCGAACCTGAAGTAGTACTACTTTGAGCAACCGGAAGAAGGCTCTCAGATCCTACTGTCTTGTTATATAAGTTATATGAGGGAGAGTTTTCAACCGGAACTGAAACTTCCGGGTATATAGTCTCATTTGCTATTTCATTAGTTGCTATAAGCGGTGCTGTACCGTGATATTCTACCTTAGGGTAGGTGTAGTTACGGTTGAGCACTACTTTTGAAGTGTCTGGCACGCTGGTAGGGGCGTCCTCCCATCCCTTGAAGGGATTTACTGTTGGCTGCGCAGTTGGTGCTACGAACTTTGCAACTTTTTCTGTTGCAACTGGTGCTGCTTCTGTGGAAAAAAATAAATAGGGATATCCGCTGAATAGAGAATAAGTGCAGAGATTAACAGTTAAGGCAATACTCTTTTGTTCCAGCCATTTGGGAATAGGCAGGAGGGATTAGATCATTTCCGAATTGCCCTTTGCCTCTGTGTCAAAAATAGTATTCGTGAGGAACCATTCATATGAAAATGTGTTCCGCCCAAGCTACTGGTTCATTTGCACGAAGACTGTTTTGAAACAGAGGCACAAGGTGACTCGGAAATGGCGTATTATAATCAGATGTCGCAAGAAAAAAGTTTTGGATGAGAGAGCCAACCGCTTTCCATACAGTGTATATTCACAGCCTGCACTGATTCGCATTTTGTCGAACTGAGATAAAAAAAAATGTCAGAAATGAAATTTGTGAAACATGCCATTAGATGTGCAGTCAAGTTATAGTTTACCATGCATGTGTGTAGACCAAGTGACGTAATTATGATACTTACCATTGCCACAATGTCCACACAGCTTGGGACAGTTAAGGTTTATCCAGTCATATGACTTGCAGTGATCCTTTCCATACATTGCGCATGCGATCTGGTCGACACACCATGAATCTGAGAAACAAAGCATCCATTCCGTATTACATTACAAGCTATGTTGCTAAAATGCTTAACAACCCACATTTGCCAATGCAAACTGAACGGCTATTTTGCTGTTAATTTAGACTCGTATTTTAGTGTAATATACTTATATGTATAAAGAATATGTGTCAGAAATATATACGAAACCAGTATGATGAAAAGACAAATCGGAGTCTAAATGCGAAATCAAATAAGGGCATTTCGAAGTTGCCTTCGTGCGAAGCCGTTCATATAAAAGTGTGCTCAGCGTACAGGTTCATTTTCATACAAATCAAACTCATTTTCATGTGAAAGGTTTGACACGAAGACTCGTTTTCAATCAGAGGAACACGGTAACTTGGAAATGGCTTATTAGCTAAATGGCTTTATTGCAAATGCCTGACGTTAACTAAAGCTCAGTCTTTTGGGCTAAATTTGTTTAACCGTCAAATTTTCTGGCTTACAGGCCGTTAGCGCTTTTGGTTTGTGGCACTGTTCTTGCTGCTATGTGCTGGGTTAGTTCTTGGACCTGGTGTCAGATGATGGTTGAGTTAGTCACTTAGTTACGACATACTCAAAGGAGCGTTCACAGGATTCTCCTGTTTTCGTTCTTCCACAAAAAAAATATTAGGTCATATTAGTAGGCTGGGCCACCCCGCTGCAGTTTTATTTTCTCATTAAAACCATGGCTGTTATGTATGGATGTGTATTTTTCGTAGACGAAATCAGTTGTGAAACGGTTTCTTTACACATTGTTATTATATGCCAAAAGTACTGATGAACTGTCGAAAATTCGGCAACCCGATTAGTTTTGGGTTCTGACTTCTTATGCTCATAATATTATGAACACTGGCTTATTTCATTAAATTCATGTTGTCTGGAAAGAAACCACCTTAAGACTCTTTCGTTTACTTAGCAGATTTTTTTTTTAACAATGAATGATACCATTCAGTTGTCGATGAATTTAAGTGCAGTCTGTGTGTTTCTTTTAGTGTTTATTTCGCTTAAAATCATATGATCAAGGAAGCATATAAGGTCTTAGTTCAATTGTCAATTGAAATGCTACGTAAAGGCGGGCACTTTATCAGAGGAAACTAGCACCATTCGAAGACTGGTTTTGATCGCAATCGAATTACTCTCTGGAACATTTGCGACGGTTTCAAAATATGTCACCGTCGAAAACATTTACAATAATGCATATTCATAAAGACAGTTGATCTTTGATTTGAAAGCAGCTTGTATTTTGCAGGTAAACTGCTAATCACCTTCACGGTTAGCTGGCTGGGCTACAGATGCGTTCAAGCATACCTTGCAAAGCCATTTAAATGATTGTAGCCGATAGCAATTTTGACAGATTTTGAGGAAACCTCATGTAATTGTTTTTCACCAAATAAAGTCTCGTCTTGATAACGCAATCGCAGAGAGCAGCTTTTTACGTAAGACTTTTGCAAGTTAGAAAATTGTTTGACCTGGTGGCACAATTGATTGCTGTGTTAGACCAGTTCTTTTTTGTCCTTGAAAAGTATATATTCATCAAATATTTACACACAAGCGGGAAAGGAAAAATGTCAAAAATTTTAAGACTTTAAAGAGAGAAATAGCCCACTAAATTTTGAAATTGGGAGAGAAATTTATCTGCTTTGAAACTAATTGTATTAAAACCCATCACCAGTTTAGTACAGAAATTTTCCCTTTTTAATTTTCCTTTTATTTTGTGCGGAAAACTTTACAACCGACGAAATTGCTCAGTCTACGCCATAATCTGAGATATCTTCAACAGAATCGAATTTCGTGGTATAAATTTCAATTTTTTCTCTTTTAAGCTCCCAGTCATTTTTTTGGAGTGACAAACAGCAAACTTGGATTGGCTTAAAGTTTTAAACCAAGCAAATCGTACATTGCGTCATAAGATGCCAGCTGCCGATCTAGCGCCTTCGTGTATCTTATAAAACAGGAGTACTTGATAGAACTTACCGTCCGAAGCTGTGATGATTTGCACAAAGTGCATAACAACGATCAAGTGTATCCACGGAAGAGTCTTCATTGCTAGTTGCTTTTTTCCTCTGGTTGCTAATATCCCGTTCCTTCTCAAAAGAGAGGAATCTAAATCTTGTCTTGCCACTCGCTTTCTTGCTTTGGGTCTGCAATAATGAAAACGTATCTAAACGAATGACTTTGAAGCAAAGCTTCACATGACAGTGTTCCGGAAGTGGGGCATGATCGAGGAAGAGGTTTTGGTGAAGTTGTGTTGATGGTATTTCATTCCTGACAACCCGTTTTCTAGAATGGTGCTATATTGATTTGGTTACCAGTAGCCATCATAAGAAAGTATAAGTTCAAAGATTGTAAAAACGTATCAGATCTGATTTGAATTTACCAACAAACTACTTTTACTTTTTCAGAAGAAATATATATTTTTTTAAATCCCGAGACTTCTATTCTCTCCTTGCCTCAACCACCAGTTGCTTATCCGACAGCAATTTCTCACAGCGGTTATTTCACGATCATGAAATACATGATAATAAGATACGGGGTTTATTTTTTGTTTCTATTAATAGTTTCCTGTAAAGTCTTTAAAGTTGCTTGTTATCATAGGGCTTAAATTCAGTTTACCCTCCCGCCCTTAAAACTGAACTTTAGTTCGCAAGTAAAAGATCAATCACAAGACAAGCCAGAAATATAAAACAGACTCTTTCCCTTTGGAAAACAATACAAGAAATAATAATTTCAAAGAGCATTGTATCTTACCTTCGAAAGCGGCCAATTAAAACAAATGTCCTCCTCTTTACCGTTACGTTGTTACCACGTCGAATTTTACCTCCATTTCGTTGTATCGTATATCGACATTTCCTCCCTGAAACTACAAGCCGGCAAATAACTAATTCTTTTGTTAACAAAAATGCGAGCTCGCCATTCGCGCATGCGTGTTAGGAAGGCCACGTATGTAATCAAATAAGGCACCAACTGTTTACACAAGCTGTGTCTTCTTTCTGTGATGTGACTGGTGGACCAATTACAGAACTCTTAGCATTTCTGGTAGGGTCACGACTAACAGGAAAATCGGAAGCCGCAGATTTGTTGCTGATCTGACAGGTTCACAGCAGACAGCTGTGGAAAGGGTTTTTCAGTCACCCCTCAAACAACAGCGCGGCTGTTACCGAAAGGTTTCGGCTTTATTCATTTTCGCTTTAAGCTGCATTCGCTAGATTTAGGTTAATTCAAATTTGAAGAGTAACACTTCACGGTTAGAGAAGTCTCAATAATGAAAGTTAACATTATGAAAGCACTTCATTCAATAAGGTCCATCTTTAACACAACAAGAATTGATAGAAAACTGTAGTAAATGTATCAACCGTCATTCTGTTTGGAACAATCAATTGATAGGCTTGTCGAAATTTGCCGTCAAAACTCATTTGTTTTGATTTTATTATTCACTAGTGGCAAGGTCCCTTCTATGATAAGCTGCACGCCAAGAAGCTAAAAAAAAAGCGAAAAAATGGCCTGTTATCGATTTCACTCGCTACTAAGAAAGTGTAATAAAATAGTTTTGGAGTACTTGATTGAAAAGCTCAATTTGAGTGAATTTCCTTTCCTTTCTTAGTTTTAAGTTGAAACAAACTGAATCAGTTGTCTTTTTTCGCACCTCTTCAGTTAAAATTTTATCGAATTGCATTGCACTGGTAACGTTCAAAGATCAAAGATCAAAATTTAAGAACGAGCGGGCTTGTAATTGCCCACTTTCTTTTACCGACAGGTTTGATATTCATTTCACATGATGTATACTGGGACTTAACAATGACGCAAAGTGGTGTAGTTTATAATGATCATTGTTTGTTGTGATTGCTCTCGACTATCTTCAAGCCAGTACACACAAATCTTTACAGCCCTTCAATGACAGTCGCGTGCCTGTCAAAGCTGATAAAAGTTCATAGAAGCGATTGTACGAACTGTTCTCAACACAGGTGTCTCAATACCCTTTTATACATTGAAGATGTGTGCTAAACTGGGCAGCAGCTTCCCCCTCAGGCTATTTATTGTCTATTTTATTCTCTCCCAATCGGTTATTAACCCCTGGCCCACCCCTGCGCAGACGGATTGTAAGTAAACTGAGCAAAGCAAGAGGTGGTATCGGACTGCCCCGGTGTGCATGACTCTAACTACTTGTTCCCTTATATCTTACGAAGGTCTTATACAGCGATGGTTCATTTCTGTCACCCTTCCACATATTACAACACTAAAACGTTTGAGGAAGGAAGAAACGAATAATAAAAGTATGGGCCGGAGACGAACGTTTCTAAGGCGGGAACAGCCTAAGCCTTCCTCATCATCTTATTACATTTTTCCTGGTTCTCTACTGAAAGAGTAGCATGGATTATCACACAGCTAAGCGGATCGTGCTATCGGACCTTGGAACAGATCAGAAAATGAAAGAGATGGGAAGGATTTTCTTTTTAGTTAAAAAATTGTGAGTGATATTTCGCCTTTACATGCGTGGTAACAGTTCTATACGTTCAAGTTTATGCAGCAGGCGTCGATTACAAGGGGGCTGAGCTTATTAAATCGCTGGGCGGGGACAGATTTATGATCCTGTAATCTCGGAGTAATAATGCATGAACACGAACCAGTGAGATTCAATTCAAGGCACTTCTCACTCAAGTCATAAGAATTAATGTTTAGTTATAAATAAAAGTTTTCTGACATTTGTTATTAACTCTCCAATTTCAGTTTTACAGCAGTGTTTGAAAAACGACCGGTAATCGTTTTTCTTTCTTTAATAACGTCACTAAATAAACCGAGCAATAGTGCTTAATCCAAACGCTGTGCTTCTGCCATCGCAGAAACGCAAGTCCAAGACGGATAACGAAGATCATTTCCTGTTTTTGGTGGTCATTCAATACACTCTGTCGCGTTTCAGCGAGTCAAATGGCTTCAAAAAGTTATTACAAAACACAGTTTTGAAGGGTCTTGTTCAAAACTCCATTCGACGATTTCTGCCAGTTTACGGAAACTGCCATGTGTACTTCATGCTCTATCCCGTGTAATATGATCCTGGATCCGCACTATTCTGATATTGCTGGCCGTTGAAATAGTATCCGGCTTGTCCGACGTTGCTTTGAGATTGTGATTCCCCGTATTGCTGGTAAGCCGTGTTATCATATGCATTGCTTCTCTGGTAGCCCGTGTTCTCATATCCATTGTTAGTCTGGTAACCTGTGTTTTCATATGCATTGCTTCTCTGGTATCCTGTGTTATCGTACCCACTGTTAGTTTGGTGACCTGTGTCACCGTACCCATTGTTTGTCTGGTAACCTGTGTTACTATACCCATTGTATCCCTGGTAAGCTGTGTTGTCGCTGTATCCTTGTGTGTTATAAGATGGATAGCCTCCTTGCGAGGCACTCGGTTGATCCATGTAGGGAGCCGGGCTCTGACTTTGGTAGTAACTGGTAGACGCGGCTGCTTGGTAACCATACGACGCCTGGTTGCCTTGTCCATTGTTATACGAGTCGCTCAGAGTCTGATTGCTCATGGTCTGATTGCTCATGGTCTGATTGCTCATGGTCTGATTGCTCATGGTCTGATTGCTCATGGTCTGATTGCTCATGGTCTGATTG